ATCATAAGGTGAGAAGAGTTGTTACTATGATTCCCATAGTCTTGCGGAGGAGGGGGGAAGTTCCCTTATACATCTATTCCCTTTCCTGAAATATGGCATTTAAAATATGGCCTTGTCTTCTTGAAACATCTAAAAAATTGTAATAATGGCATTTCAGTTCTTATCTTTCCTGAAAGTTTCTTATTTTTTTTGGCCAGGGCTGGGTTTGAACCCACCACCTCTGGTAAATGGGGCCGGCACCCTACTCCTTTGAGCTACAGGCACCACCTGTCCTGAAAGTTTCTTCATCCCCTTAATATATATCTGTGTATTTAAAAATCTCTTGCTTTTATTATTTTCCCTTTAAATACTTTAACCATGGAACTCTGGAATAGATATTGTCTAGAGATTCATATTTCATTTTTCATGTATGTGTGGATTTGGGCAGCTTTCTAAGAAGAGCTCATGAATTTTCATTCCCTATAAGTCCAATTTGTTGTCTTCCTATATCCTGGAGATCGTGTTAGAAATTAGTACATGTCTTTGTCTCATTTCCCCAAACCTAACATTTTATCTTACACTGTTAGCTGACTGTCAAGTTCTGTTCACAGGGTGATACCTCTAGTTCCCTAGGTGTTTGGACATGTTAACTCTGTGAGAGGAAATTTCTGAGCCACTTCTGAGAAATAAGACTGCATCGACTATATGTCAGGCAAATTGCATGCACAGTGATCCCCCACCTACTAGATATATAGCCAGTCAGTATACAGGAATTTGACCTAAGAAAGAATTATCTTCCTTTCTGGGGAGGAGCAGTGGTAGCCACAGTGGCAGCCACAATGGCAAAAAACTCTGACACCTCTGTTTCTCAGCCTCAGCACTATTGACATTTTGGGTCAGGCAATCCATTTGTCTTGGAGGCTGTCCTGTGCACTGTAGGATATTCAGCAGCATCTCTGTCCTCTGCCCGATAGACATTAGTATAGACCTCGCCACCCTGAATTGTGACAACCAAAAATGTCTCCAGACATTGCATGTTTCCTGGGAGGTAATACAACCCCCAGTTAATAACTTCTACCCTACTGTCTTATGATAGTATCTTTGCATTTTTTATTATCTAATGAAGACATGTTCTTGGTAGGTGGGTTGTACATTTTAATTATTTTAGTAACTCCAGAAAGGCTATACCAATTTATCCCTAACAACAAAGAGGGATATTGCATATCAGTGCTGAATTTTGTCAGTATTTTTAATCTTTCATGAATCTGATAGATGAGAAATTAGCCTTTTAATTCATCATAAGGTGGGAAGAGGTTGGATACATTCTAATTTTTATTGTATATTTACACATCATCTTTTCTGCATTACTTGATTTTATTCTTTGGATATTATATCATCTTTTGTGCATTACTTAATTTTATTCTTTGGATATTTGGTATTAATTTGGATATTTATATGATGATAGGATTGCTTTTTATTGTTAAATATGTTTCATTTTTTACATAGTTAAAATTACACTTTTTCTTTATAGTTTCTAGCTTTTATAGATAGCTTTATGGCCTGGTCTTTTAGTACATCGAATCTTTTTTTTTTTTTTTTTGAGACAGAGCCTTAAGCTGTTGCCCTGGGTAGAGTGCTGTGGCATCACAGTCCACAGTAACCTCCAACTCCTGGGCTCAAGCGATTCTTCTGCCTCCACCTCCCAAGTAGCTGAGACTGCAGGCGCCCGCCACAATGCCTGGCTGTTTTTTGGTTGCAGCTGTCATTGTTGTTTGGCAGGCCCAGGCTGGATTTGAACCCATCAGCTTGGGTGTATGTGGCTGGCACCTTAGCTGCTTAAGCCACAGGCACCGAGCCTAGATTGAATCTTTTGAGATGTCATATAGAAGATACTCAATAGATTTTTAAATGACACAAGGTGTGCTACACCTTTTGGGGGCAGGACACAATTGTAAGAGGATTCTTATCTAATAGATGCAATTAATGCAAACTGGTTCTTTGTACCCTCAATAAATCCCCAACAATTAAAAAAAAAAAAGAGACTGAATGTAGAAGAATGTTGGTACTTTTTCAAGGAAAGAGAGGATGTACATATGTATTTGTGGTTGTACACATGTGTGTGGACATGGGAACAGAAGAGCAGAGGGCTAAAGACTGAGCTGTATGTCTACATTTACCAGGCATTGGAAGGACATTGAGAAGCCAAGGACAGTATAGTTTCTTAGAATACCGCTGAAAACTCAGAGAGAAAAGTACTTTAGATTGGTAGAAGGTTGACCTAACATCACCCCAGCTAAATTCTATAGTTAAACAAGCGATGAGTGTTAAAAGACTAAAAGAAGCTAGAGATGAAAACTCAGAAACGTGGCATAGTGAAGGGTATGAACATGGGAGGTTTAAACTTTGTAACAGAATGTAAGTAATGTGGGATTTGGGAGATCCAGGTGTAGACTGGTAAGAGATCCGGGTTTATGTGGATTAACTGTTAAACTTTTTTACTTTTCTGTTTTTATCAAGGGATTTATAGTGTTCCTTGATATATTTTCTTTTTCTGGCTTTAGCTCTCTATCTTTGTTTTTGAAAGGATCTTTGCCTTTCCCTTTAGATCAAAGAAACAGATAATAAGAAATACATATCTAGGGCAAAATTCTCATCGTTTGTTCTGCGGACTGCTGAGGTGGGTGAAGTTCTATATTAGCCTGCTCAGGCTGCCGTAACAGAATACCAACTGGGTGGCTTAAACAACAGACATTTATTTTCTTACAGTTCTGGAAGCTAAACACCCCCTATCCAGGTGCCATCAGGACTGGTTTCTAGTGAGGCCTCTTCCTGGCTTGTAGTTGGCTGCCTTGCTCCTGTATCTTCACATGGCTTTTCCTCTGTGCACGCACACGCCTGGTATCTCTTCCGCTTCTTATGGACACCAGTCCTCTTGGGTTAGGACCTGACCTTTATAGTTTTGTTTATTAACCTCAGTTACCTCTATAAGAGCCCTATCTGCAGTCGCTTCAAGGGTTAGAGCTTCCACACATTAACTTTGGGGTGTAGAGGACCCAATTCAGTCCATAATAGGGTCCCCAGAATTCCTTTGTGTGGTCCACAAAATCAGAAATGTTTTATTGATAACACTAAGATGTTATTTGCCTTTTATAATGTGTAGACATTTGTACTGACAGTGCAAAAGGCATGAGAGATAAAACAAATGCCTTCTTACAGATCGACGCTGTGGTACCCAACTGTATTCCTGGTCATTAGCTTCTCCAATGCTACATATTCACGTAAAGAAAAAAAGAGGGGCTGTTAAAGGGTTACTAAATATTCTAAAAATTTCTCAGTTTTAATTTATAATATAATAAATATTGGTAACGCATATAAATTAAAACCTCTTTGAGTCCTTAAATTTTTAAAGTGTAAATGGACCCTTAACTCAAAAAAAAAAAAAAAAATCTAAGGACTGCAGATGTAAGGGAAAGGTGTGGTTTGTTAAAGTAAATTTTTATATTTCTTAGTTTTGCCTTAGAAAGGAAGTAGTTCTTTTATAATTAGAGGAAATAAACCTTTGTTTTTTGGAAAGTAGGTCAAGTTTCTGTATTTCTCTTTAATAAAAAAATTGAAGTTTCAAATTTCTGCATATTCAGTATTGATTGTATGACTCTTTCCCCTCCCAACCCTGGTTTCTCCATCCCTTTGGTCTTGACTTCTGGTGAGAGGAGGCAGGGGTAGTTTACTTAGCTCTGACCCCTTTATTTATTCAAAATAAATAATAAATATTTATTAATATTAAGTAAATAACTATTCAAAATAAATATGCCAATCTTGTTGATGAGTGGTAGGTACAATTCCTTTCTCATCTGTTGTTGAAGGAACAACATATGAAATGTATTTAGTGCTGTACAATCAATATAGAGGATTTTTAACAGAATATTTTCCAGGAAGTAAAAGTGACATTTCTCGGAAGCAGATTTTTGAGCTCTGAAGTAAATGCATGAAATGACAGAAAGGAAAGGAGGAGTGTGTATAGAGCAGGGGTTGGCAAACTTTTATTGTAAAGACAAGGCAGTGAGTATTTACTACAGGTATTACTGACCATGGTATAGTATGAAAGCAGCGATAGACAATAATTAAACAAAGGAGCATGACTGTATTCCAACAAAACTTTGTTTATGAATTTCGTTACTTTTCATGTGTCATGAAATACTGTTCCTTTGATTTTTTTTTTTTAACCATGTAAAAGTGTAAAAACCATTCTTAGCTCTCAGGTTATACAAAAACAGGCAGCAGACCCTGTTTAGCCTGGACACCATAGTTGTCTCACCTCCGTCTGGTATAGGAGATGAGTACCATTTGTGGCCGAAGGCTGGAAGATGCCTGCCATGTTGATTTCAGACAAGGTTGCAGGAAAAGTGAGTTTATATGAACAGTCATTCTAACTTTGGATTTATAAATTTTGCTAATCTTTTCAAGAAACTACTTGTATTTTGTTAATTTTCTCTATTATTTTGTTCTTTACATTAATTTTTGCTTTTATATTATTTCCTCAATGTAGTTCTTTTAGGTTTCCTTTGCTCTTTTTTCCTTAGCTTCTTAAGATAGAACTTTAGGAAATCTATTTTCCCCTACAATAAGCATTTAAAGCTATAAATCCTTTTTTATAGTATTTTCACATGTATTTTATTTTTATCTTCCATTGTGTTCCATTTGAAATATTTTCAGTTATTTTTTTCCTCCATGGACTATGTAGATGTATTAGTTTTAAACATTTGAAGTTTGGGTTTTTCTCAATATCTTACTGTTAATGATTTTTAATTTATTTCAGTTGTGTTCAACACATTCTGATTGGTTTGATCCTTTTACATTTATTTTGACATATCAGCATGTAGTGTCAATTAGTGAAGGTACCACATGGATTTGAAAAGAATGTATATTCTGCAGTTGGGTTGTAGTGTTCTAAACTGTCAGTTAGGTCAAGGTGGTTGATAGTATTGTTCAGATCTTCTAAGTCTTTACTGATTTTTTTTCAGAGAGGTCTGGTTCTTCTATCAAGTGCTAAGAGACGACTATTATGATCTCCAACTCTACAACTCTAATAGCGTATGTTTTCCTCTAATTTGATCACTTTTTCTTTATGTAAAGGCTTTATTGTTTTTAAAGCAATTTTAGGCTCCCCTTTTATTTTTATTTTTGAAGCAGTTTTAGGCCCAATTTTAACAAAACTGGGAGGAAGGTACAGAAATATCCCAATGGGACTTTCATATTCCACAAGTACTTTGTTTCTGCAGTGGTTCCTGACCTTCCTAATGCTGCAGTGTATTTTCATTGTTAAAAGGAGGTTGCGTCCCACAGGTTGAGAACTGCTGGCTTAAAGTTTCCATATCTATCAAAACGCAAAGTTCTTTTTGCAGGATCAACATTTTTCGTCCTTAAAATGTGTGTGGGATTGGATCTCCCAATTTTTTTCTTTTTTTTTTGAGTCAGAATCTCATGCTGTTGCCCTGGATAGAGTGCTGTGGCATCGTAGCTCAGGGATACAAATGTTTTGGTTGCATACATTGCTTTTGTACTGTTTGGGTGAAAGTTATAATTGCACCCATTACTTAGATAGTGTGCATTGTAACCAGTAGGTATGAATTTATCCACTCCCTCCCCCATCACCTACTTGATTTTTGGTGAGTGTTCTATGGGTGCATATAAGTGATTGAATAGTTCCACATGGTATTTGTTTTTCCATTCTTGTGATAGAAAAATGGTCTCTGGTTCTATCCAGGTTAATACAAGAGGTATTGGAATACCATTTTTGTTATGGCTGAGAGTACTCCATGGTATACATATGCCACATTTTATTAATGCGTATATTTTTCAGGTCTATCATTGCCGGCTGTGATAATGGGAGACCTAGAATGCTAGGTAGCAGGAGTATACAATCTTTATGGAAAGCTATGGGAAAGAACTGCTGAGTGGTGACCAGGGGCATGCAATTGTGAAATGGGATGTGGGGAATTGTTTAGCAGGATGTGCTCTGTAGGCTGACCAGGGATAGGCATTAGACATGCTGCCAAAGTGCTTCAGACTTGGACTGCAAATAGTGTGGAGTATAATGATAATTTTGAAAAAGTGAGCAAAGTGCTGGTCTGATGGACATTGGAGAGAAAGAATTACCAGAAGATGTTATTGGATTGAATATAGGAAGAGTAGAAGGGAGAGCTGACTTAAGCTGTTCTAGGAACCAAGAGGACTGGTAAAATGGTAGAACGTTTGCCCATGATAGCAGGGTATTTAGTAGTGACTGAGTGATAGAGATGAGAATTTTTTTTTTTTTTTTTGGTTCATTCGATTTGGGGTGTTTCCTGGATACCCACATGTGGGCATCATATAGGCAATATTGATAATTTCATGGTTGTTAAAAGACAATAATAGTTTCTATTGTGTTTTATTATACACATACTATGAAATCACTGGTTTCTGAAATAATATTGGGATTAGATTTTATATG